GTTCTGGGCAATTTACATGTTTATTCCTTAATATGCCCAACACTTTGTCCTTAATTTATAGCTTTAAGAAATAGCCACAGAGATGTTAAGTAAGTAACAGTAAAGAAGTATTGGAGCTAGGATTTGAATATTTGACTCCAGGGCATAACATGAAAGCTCTTAAGAGTGTTTGTGTTTGTGTATTTCAGTTAAATTGTATTCATATGTACTAGTTTCCTAGGACTCCTAACAAAGTACCATGAACTTGATGTCTTAAAACAATAGAAATTGTCTGACACTTCTGAAGGCTGGAAGTCAATGACAATGTTGCCAGGGCCCTACTCCCTCTGTTGGTTCTGGGGGAGACTCCTTTGCCTCTTCTTAGTTTCCTGGCAGTCCTTCACATTCCTTGGCTTGGACCTTTATCACTTTATTTCCACCTCATCTTCACATGACCTTCTCCCTTATAGGTTCTCTATGTGTCTAAATATTTTTTTCTTACAAGCACACCAGTCATTGGATGATAGGGCCACCCTAATCTAATATAACTTGATTACACCTGCAAAAAAACTCTTTATCCAAATAAGGTCACATTTGGAGGTTCTGGGTGGGCATTAATTTTGAGCGACACTTCAACCCATTGCATTCTTACCTGTGGCCCTGCCAAATTTATATTCTCACATACAAAATAAATTCACCCCACCCCAGCATCCTTGTCTTAAACTATTACAACATTAACTTTAAAACCTAAGTCTCATCTAAATAGCAACTCAAAAAGTTCCAGATCTCATTATCTCAGTCATCTAAATCAGGTATGCATGAGACTCTATGATGCTATGTAGGGCAAAATTCCTCTTCCATCAGTGAACCTGTAAAACTAGAGAACAAATGACCTGCTTCTAAAATACATTGATAGGGCAGGCATGGGATTGACATTCCCATTTTAAAAGGGAGAAGTTGGAAGAAAAAACCCAAGCAAGTTCCCCAGTAGAGCAAATTATGTGAAGTGTCAAAGCCTAAGGTTAATCCTCTGTGGTTCTCTGCTCTGTCCTCTGGCTCTTCAGGGTGGCCCCACTTTACCCTGCTTTCATAGTCCTTCCCTTTACTTGAAGGATAACACATTTACAGCCAAGTAGCCCTAACTGTGTGGCCTTTTCTTGTTTGTGTGTGTTGATACATGTAGGTGTTGATAAATGCACATTTAAATAAAAAAAAACACTAAAAACAACGGCAGTTTAGCACTGCTGAAGTGGTGGAGAGTTTTAGGCCTAGGTCGTGTTTTTTTTTCTGTGATGAACTACTTCTATGGAGGGCTTAAAGGGCTCCTTTGTTAGCATACTACATGCTTTGTGTTAGTAGTATGTGAAACCCTTTTTAGAAACTCCGACATTTTTGTTTTATTCTGGGTTTGTATCTGGATAAATCCCCAGACAAGGGAGCTGGTAAGTCAAGTATAATTGTGTACATATTAACTGAAATTTTAGAAGACTGTCACCTCCCATGGAAGGAAGATTACATGTAGTTCAGTACTTAGTAAATAAATCTACTAGAATTGCTAGTACAATTCATTATCCAAAGCTAAATTTCATTACTTGAAGTCACAGATGGACATTGCTCAGTTCCTTTCTAAAATAACTGGGCTATTGAAGAGTGGCAACCTTTAACTGACATGCAGATATATTATTTTGGAGAGAGATTGATGTTGGTTGGCCTTGAGGTTCTGGTACTTGTAGAAATTTTTATTCCCTCCCATAGGCTTGCAATAGCAGGTAAGGGAATTTATTACAAAGTATTTTGTTTTAGGTTACTACTCTATGTTTAATAAGCTGCCCAGTTGCTGTATGACCTTGATTAGTTGATTACTGTGAACATTTAGTTAATGTCTAACACAGCTTTCCCTAAAGATTAAGCTATAAGATGGGGGATCTGCTTTCTAAAACTTGGTTTATGGTTCTATATAAATGTTCGGTCATTTTGTCTGTCCTTTGTGTATACTTAAGTTTTTTCATGTACTAACTAAAATGAATATGTGATAGACATGAATATGTGATGGTATTATTAGCTTTGCCAACTTATATATCCAATAATCATGCTGTCTTCAAATAGTTAGGACAATGTACTATTCTGGTGTTTCCTACTGGATTTTTTAAATTCCAATTTCCTAGATAAAGTATTTAAGAGTACACATCCACTGTGTATTTCCACTGTAATGCCACAGTGTGGTGCTGTAGTGTTTTGGCTGAATATTACAGAATCATCTTTTTCTGTTACTGTCAGATCTCTTATTTTGTGGATTAACTAAGATGCTCTCAAAAGTATATGAAAATGCACTCATATCAGATAAGTATAGCTACACATAATCAGTTATTTGATTGCTTTCCAGTGATTGTGCGAGATTTCTTTTTATGTTAATCAGTTTATTAGCATGCATATTTAAATTTTTTCCTTGATTGCCCCATTATATTGAGTTAAGAATCAGAGGGTTATGAAATTATAACTTGAGGAAACCAACAAATAAATTGACTCTCTAGATGACAACAAGCATATCTTTTTATATTTTAGGCGTTTTGGATAGTATTATGTTAAACACAGTTCCACTCAAATTATATAATGCTTTCTTCCAAATCCAAGGTAGCTGTTTTTGCCATTGTTGTTATTTACATTATTTGTGCCAGAGTCTGTTCAGGAGGAAATAGTTCATGATTTATGTGGCTATTGTGCTGCCATTATTTTTTTAAAATCTTCAGATGCACTTGCATCACTTTTGCAAGGTTACTTTTTTATACACTAGCAAAATTATATACTTTCTCTAGTGTATAATTTGTCAAGTCAGAGTGTACTAGTAATGCTTGCATTTTAACAAGAAAGTTTTTATAAAGGGCCTTAAGGAATAAGCACCAGACTATCAAAGAGATTCATAGCCCTGGGACTCTTAAGGTCGCAGTTTAATATTTTGATGCTGTTGCATGAAATGACTTTATGGCTTTGCTCTGTTACTTTTAGGAAATAATAGTTTTAATGATAACAAACAGTAGACATTAATTTAATTCAGAAAATAGATTGTAATGTTTTCTTCTTGAAGAGGAAAGGGCTAAGGAGATGATAGATGAATTAAATGAGTCTAATGAACTTGACAGTAAATGAGGACCTTTGTCTTGAACTAAAGGACCACATATTATTGTAGGGTTTTTGGAAATATTTTCCAGCTAAACAAGAGCAGACATGACTATTTTGAAATGGAGATGGTGGGGGAATCTTAATTTTGGGCGGAAACTGGCTCTTAATATTTTCTACCCTTGAGATAACTGTGGGAAAGTTACTTCTTTACTGTAGGACAGCGATTTTCAACGAGTGTGGCACAAGAATTTTTAAAATGAGCAGTACCTGACTATTTAGTCAGGGGCACTGACCTCTTTCTTTCCCCTTGATGGTGTGAATGATTCAAAATTACACCTTTTTTTTTTTTTGGGGGGTCAGATTGGCAATAAATATATTTTGGTTTACCGCAGAATTTTAGTAACTAGTTTTTGTGTGCCATGAGACGAAAAAAGTTGAAAATTGCTGCTTGTAGGAAAAACTATAAACTCCTTATGAGGATAAGGTTTGTGTCTGTTTTGTTCATCATGATACCTTCTGCATCTAGCACTTAGGCATATTTAGAGTGAAAATTGTAATAGAAGTGCTAATAATTGCATTCTCCTGGGGGAGTTAGTGATTAAATGCCAGTTAGGCCTTAAGTAGGGGGATTTGACTTTTTTTTTTCCAGGCATGCTATATTGGTAGATGTCCCTTTTTAGAGGTATAGTCAATCAACTAATAATGTCAGATTTTGGAGTTGGGTATTTTAGAAATGGGAGTTGGAGTTAGTATAGGCAAGCTCTGGTAACAGAATCTGTAGAGGGACTACCTTCAGGAGGTTTTTTGGAAAAGAATGGGGCAGTAGAACATTCAGGAAATAACTTACCAAATAATAGTTAACATTCAGTTATTCATATAATAAAAACTTGCATTCACCTACCTTGGGCCAAGCTTTCTGATAGGCCAGTTAAGCTGTTAAGTGTGTGAAGACAAGAATGGCTGATTTGTTTTTAATCATTAGTTCGATACATATTTGTGTAATATTTGTACATATGTACATGCCTTTAGGATAAATGAATGATAAAAAGTTCCTGCTTTATAATAATAAAAATAGACAAACATGTAATTATAATATTTTGGAAAATATAATACAAAACACATTCTATATATTTCAATTTGTATTTTAGCACTTAACTCTGGGAATCAGGTCCTTTGAGTTGTGCACTTTTTGTCATTTATTTTTAGAATACTATATAATATATCATTTATGAACAGTGCAGTTAGGAATATACTTCAGATTTCTTTAAGATGAGCATATTTTATAGTATTCCTAAAAGGACAGAAATTAAAATGTTTTATTTGGAGAAGTCATATTAGAAAATGTTAAAACAATTATTTTGAAGGAAGTAAGTGTATTTTTCTGTTCATGGTAATAAGTTTGAACAAAAGAACACTTTTCAATCTACCCATTCCCAAGAAATTATAATGAAGAGGTTGTTCCTTTTTTTCTTGTTGTATAGCAAAGTAAAATTTTAAATCCCAGGATAGAATTGCTCTATTTTAAGAATTCTTATGAACTTATGATATTCTCTCATATATAGGAATTTCCTCTTAACTCAAATTTATAACAGGTTTGGCTGCTAAATTTTACCTATTTGGGAGGGCATTTATTGATATAACCATACTGTTTTTCTCCTTAAATATTCAGTAATTCATGGGATTTCACTCTTCCTATTAACCTATCTTTTTTCTGGGCTAACCCCATCTTGTCATTGTATGTTATTCTTCTAATTTCCAGATTAATTTGATTAGCTGATATTTTGTTTAGGGTTATTGTGACTACTCAGAAATAAGCTTGGCCTATAGTTCTCATTTATGTGCTGTCTTTAACAAGTTTGGTAATAGAACAGCTATTTTTAATTCTCTATTTCCTTAATTGACAGGTCGTGGTTCAATTTCAGAATTCTTTCACATTATGAAAAGAAAGTTTACCAACAAAGAATGGGAAACAATCAGAAGCTTTAAGGATGAATGGACTCAGCTGGATATGTTTTATAGGAATTGGGTATAATTTCTTTCTAATTTTGAGAGTAAATGCTTGTGATGGTTTTATTATCTATGCAAAAAATAGGAGCAAAAAAGTTTTGGTTACCTAGTATTTCATGCACTGTTTGAGGTTAAATAGGTCATTACCTGAAACTGCATGATTTATATGTATACAGTATTACATTACAATGACTTTTAAGAAAATTTAACATATATTTAAAACTCAATTAGAAGGTATTTACTTTTGAAGCTAGAACAAGGCGTTTTATTTATCACTTTTTATAAATTTCTTTTGTGTTAAACACATTAGGCTTTATTTAACAAGCACATATAAGTGGGCATGTGAGAGGCAACCACACATTGATGTTTCTCTTCCTCTCCCCCTTCCTCTCTCTCTAAAAATAAATAATATCTTTTTTAAAAAACATTATAAACTTTAGTGTGTGCCAGAAGACATTACTTGAGGCCTTTTATAAATTAGTTAAATTATTATAAAAGACGTATGTGAAAGACCTATTATTACTGCATGTTACACTTGGGAAAATGGAGGTAAAGGGAGTTAAAATGATTTTCCTTAAGATCATACAGCTGGTTTGTCTTCATGCCTATTATAACAGTGGAAAAAAATAGCTTATAGCCATAATGTAGTATAAAGATCCAGATATTTTAGGCCTATTGATTTTATGGAAAATTTTATCTACTTAAAGCTCTAAGAGAAAATTTTTTTTTGTATCTTAGGCACTGAAAGAAAGCTTCATAAAAGCCATAGGTGTTGGGCTTGGATTTGAATTGCAACGGCTTGAATTTGATATATCCCCATTAAACCTGGAGATAGGCCAGGTTTATAAAGAAACACGCTTGTTTCTGGATGGAGAAGAAGAAAAAGAATGGGCATTTGAGGTAAGAAATTTATCATAATTGCTGTAACTGCAAGGATTTGCTTATTTTGTGCATGTGTGTGAGGTTGATTTGAGGAGGCTAATCATTGGCAGAAAACACAGCTGGAATCCAGCCTTGGTGCTCAGAAGGCGAAGTCAGGGAAACCATGAGAACATACAGCATTTAAGCTGATACGTGAAAGATTAGTCATAGTGAGTTAAGTAAAATGGGAAGAAAAAAGAGGCCCTGTAATAGAGATTTTTGTGTAAAAACAGCCAAAAGAAGCTGTTTGGACTCTTATGATGAGGGTGTTCTAGGTTAGATTGATAACTTCATGCAGGGCATTATGGGCCAGGTTAAAGATTTTTTTTCTCTTTGTATATTTGATTTCTGTCACTAGCAATTTTTTAGTTACTGGTGAGAGAAATCCAACATAAACTCATTTAAGCCAAATGATACCATATAGGCTCCTCGAGTGTTTCATGTAACTGGGCCTCAGAATTAACTAGAATTTGGGATTGGAAAACTCAGAACTCTTATATTTTACTTTTGCTTTTCTATATAGCCTGGCTTCAGTTTTCTCCCTCCTTTGTTTCTCATTATGTACATCAGCTTTCTTAACTTCTCTGGTTTGTGTAGGTGGAAACATGGCTGCCTACCACTGATACATGTCACAGTTAGGATAAACCCCACAGAGATTGGTAGACTCCCTTTCTATTCCAAGTCCTAAACTCTCTGGCCTAGCTTGGGTCTGGTGCTTATCCTCTGGCTAGTCATTGTAGAAGTGGTCTACTATGATTGAGCTGGCTTGTGTCAGCTGTCCAGAGCCCAGCAAATAGGTTGCATACTAATGTAGTTGTTCCTGCAATAATCACCTGAATTGTCTTCAGAGAACTGTGGTGGCCAGAATAAAGAATTAGTGATGAGTTGATAAAATGGAACTGTTCACTAATATTCACAAAAGAATGTAACAGGTATTAGTAGAGAGTGTGATAAGTTCAGATTTGTATTTTAAGAACAAGTCCTGAGTGGAGGTTAAGGAAGTGAGATGTCAAAGATGTTATGATCAATTCTGTCCCTTATATAGGACCCACTAATGAAAAACTGGATACTAGGGAACAAGTCGTATATGAATTTGAGATGCCATAGGAACGTCCAAGTGAAGGTGTCAGGTGAATAGAATGAAGGGCAGGTTAGAAGAAAACAATCATAATCATTATAAATGTGCCCGGTAGTTGAATCCATGGGATTTAAAGTTGCAGCTGTATTAGAAGAGAGAAATTACCTATATCATAAGAGAGAAAAGCCCTAGGACAGCAACCTGAGAATACTAAATTAACGCAGGTGTGGAGGAGATAAAAAGAATGATCAAAAATAGTTAGAAATAAACTAATAGAGTAGTGTTAGGGGATCCAAAGGGCAGAAAGTATTTTTGAAAATGAGATCTGTGTCAAAACTGCTAACAAACCAAGTAAGGTAGGAGTTTGATCAGTTAAGGAGTATATTGTATTTAGGGTATTTTAAGAGTACAATTTTTTTAAAATTGTAAACAAAAGTAAGGATTAAACCTTAGCCATTTCACTCTGGGGGAATCCTTTATTCTTAATGGTGGCGTAAACCTAGTAGCCACGGGAGGAGGGAAAAGTCATGACTGGGCCAGCTGTGCTTCACCTTTTTGGGTGGTAAAGATGTCTGAGTTCCTGTAGATCAAACAGATGCTGTGGAAAATGGTAGCTTCTGGTGTTGAAGTGTCTTGACCCAAAGGAACTCCAAAAGAAAGGCAGTAAGCAGTCTACTATGTATTAGTTGCCAAGGGCTGTAATTATAGGAAGTCTGAATGCACAGCTAGCTTTGAGAAGTGCTACAGAGAGAGCTAAAGTACTGGAAGGGATTCTTTGAAAATACCCCAGATGCCCACTCCAAGAGATGAGCTAGCCTTTGGATACTTCATATATTCAGGGCTCTAAAAACTGAATTAAAAGCATTGGTCATTACTCTGCCCCTTTCCTCCCATCCCCTTCCTTGTTCCCCCTACTTTAAGGAAACCAGAGTGGAAGAGGACAATTAGAAAAGTAAGGTGAGGCCAAGGGGGAAGTTTGTGCATTTGTCCTAGGAGTGAAGTAGGATTTTTAAAGCTCAAAATGACTGACGAGATGTGGGGTTTACTGAAAGGCTTGTCCAGGAGCTGGGAAGGAAGATTCACCTGGGCACATTTGAAGGCAGCCATGGAAAATAATTAAGTTCTTTAAATGTCCCCAAGCGTTTGGTCAATTCTGTGTAGTAGTTACAAAAATAAGGAAACCGTGTATGATAGATACATATATTTAAATGTGGATTATTTATTACCTTATAAATAGGCTCAGGAGGGGAGAGTGAACTTAACAGAATGAGTGTGATGGTATGGACAGCCAGAAACTAGCGAGTGCGGAAAGAATGATGAGTATAAGGCCAAGGGAGGCATACATGGAGTTGAAGAATGCAGGTGGGAGGATCCTGTCAGGGCATCTCCAAAGTACCCACTAGTTAAAGGAGCCAGCCTTTCGGGCACACAGCTGAAGAGGGGCTATGAGTTCAGTGTACAACCGTGGCATTAATGATCTTCACTGACCTTTCCTCCCTTTTCTTCACCCGTTTGCATTTGCGCTCATACACGCTAAATTCACCCACGCTGGAAGAACTGGAGACAGCATAGTGAATGGTGGCAGAGGGGGCAGGGTCTGGAGTTTGGAAGAGGTGAAAGCAATTCCTTTCCCCATTGGAGGCTTCTAAGTCTGAAGTAGATATAAGCTGAGTAGGTGGGAGAAAGAAGCTCTTTATGAGGTGAGAATGAAACAGAATTTGGATCAAACACGGCAAAGCACCTTGATTGAGGGAACATTTGACAAGTGAGTGATTAAAATGTCATTTGGGAGATCTACTCAAGGTTTCATGCAGGGAAAGAGAAAAATGAAGTGTCAGAACTTGTTTATAGGGAAATGGTCAGAGGGAATAAACTATCTTCTATTCGTACACTGTGTTGTCTCGCTCCTTTAGTAAACTGAGAAGGAAGGACAAAGAGGGTTCAGCCTTTCCTCACTTTTTACATGTAACTCCAAGTGAAAGAGCTGCGTGGGACAACTTGGCCACTGTCTACTTCCTTTTCTCTCTCCTATGTAATGCTACCTCCTGAAATGGCCAGAGTCATGACCAAACACCATTAGCCCCATGGCTAGGTTTTCTCCCATATGTACTTGGTGACTAAACTTAAGTACACAGGCCATTTAAGAAAGTAGTATTGTCTGGGTTGGACACAAGACAAGTACCTTATAAGACTATGGTATTTATCAATGCATATAACCAATGAATAACTGAATTACGTTAGACTTTTACATTCTCTTTTTCATATTATGAGAACTAATTTATGCTAGGCTGGGAAAAAAAAAAGTCCCATTTGTACAGGCAGCGTTAAAAGAATGCCTGCAGGGGTCGAAGCTGCACATACGTCACAATCTTAACTCCATGTGTACAGCTGTTTGGTATCTACTGGCACCTAAGTAAGTGATGCAGAAGGCTAGGATACTACCACCCTCGTCTAAGCAGAACTTAAGGACAGTGCCACACAGGATATATGGTAAAATTTTGCATACTAAGAGAAAAGGAGACATTTATTTCCTTGGGGACTCAAAACAATGCTGTAAATGAAAATTATATAAAGAAGAAGATCTTACAAGTATTTGCTTAGTATTTTTAGTAATATTCAAGAAAAAAACATATTTGAAATGGAAGCTAAGAGACTTAAGGAGAGAACAGGTTTGGCATTTTAGTGGACAGATTGAATGAGAAAACTGGTTATAGCCCACAGTTACTTCTGATACTTGCCTAAGACACAGACACTACAGAATGCTGATCTAAGTGGTTTTTCAAAAGTAATTATAGCCAAAATATATCTGTATGTTATGATATTCATATTATCAATATATTCAGTGTAAAGAATGGGAGGACAACCATGTATCAAAAAGAACAGATTTGTTTATAATATTATGAGCTTGTTTTTGGCTAAAGGGAAAATAACCTATTAAATATTGTCTGATACCTTTTGCAGCTAATTACATTTTTTTCCTCTTTAAATGTAGTTTTCTAAATTTTTATTGAATTTTAGTTTTTGTTAATTTGGATGTAAGTAACAGTTTCTGATTGTAGTTTCCTAATTCAGCTGATGTCTTGTGGAAGAATACCTTAGTAAGGTAGCTTTCTAGTGAAAATTTTGCCCTTTTTTATTTTTTTAATAGTCATTCATACTTTTCTCTGGTAACAATTTCAGTGTCTATTATCTCTTAAAAGCTCCCAGCCTACCCCCTCTCTCCCCACCCTCATTTAGTCCTCATATGTAAGGGAGAATAGAAAGTTAGTTGCATGTTCTTTATCTTACCTATAAAATTCCACCATGAATTTCCATAGGCTATAGTGTGTAGTTAACTAAATGTTTATAAACCAGTGTTGCAATCTGATTTCTTATGTTAATTTTAAGAATATATAAAGTAAACATCACCAGTGTGGGCAGATAGCTAGATGTACCCCTAGGTAGGACACTTTATCTGTGTAGTACTCTGGTTTAGGATGTATTATATACATTATTAGGAAACAGTAGGAAAACCCCAAATGAGCAGTGTTCTGTAAATAAAAGGGGGGAAACAGGGCTTGTATTTTAAAATATTAATGTCAAAACAAAGGCTATCCAGACACAACAACTGGATACAACACTTGATCCTAGACCACCTCCTGCACTAGAGTGGGAGAGATGCTATAAAAGACATTATTGGATGAGTTCAAAAATTTGGAACACAGATGGTAGCTTTAAGTACTATTTCATTGTATTATTAACCAAAGTTATTGACTGCCCTGGTTATGTGAGAGAATATTTCTTAGGAAATACATATTGAAATATTTCAGACTAAAGGGTCAAAATGTATTTGACTTCTTCTGGAATGGATGGTACAAGTTGGGGGATGTGTGTGTAGAGAGAGGTTGAGATTTTAAAGATGTTCACATATTTAAATACCTAAGTTTACATATTTAGTAATCTTTATGTACTTGTCTTTTATTTTTCAGGAAAGCAAAATAGATGAGCATCATTTTGTTGCAGTAGCTCTTAGGAAACCCGATGGATCTAGACAGCAGGATGTAAGATTTTAAAATATCTCTGACTTCTATTTTAAAAGCATGAATCAATACTGAGTTTGTTCTTTACTGATAGAAAGTCATTTGGTTTATATCAGTTTTGGAGGGGGGGGGATTGTTTGTTTTTAGATTATAAATTTGGAAGTGTTTATTGTTATCAGATCCTTAAGATCATCAGAGTTTTTGCAGAAAATTTTAAGAAGCATGTTACCTGCTTCACATTCAAATACTTAAATATTACAAAGAAAAACTTTGGTAATACTGTCCAACTATTCACAGTTTCAGCTGAAATTCAGGATCACTACCTTAATCATCATAACTGGTTTGAGCTTGTGCAAAAGTGGTTAATCTTCCTAAAAGCCTTAATTTCTCCATCTATAAAATTGACATAACAACCGTATCTGTGAGACATAAATCACATTAAATAGGTACTGACCTCGTTAAAGCACTATATAAAATCCAAGTAGTAGTACCTTTACTAGAATGTATAGAATGTTAAAGAACTACACGGGGTTCAGTTGTGAACAAGGGTTCTATCTCAGAGTATAAGATACAGATTAAGTTTAGTGTTCAGTGAATCATTTCCTAAAGAAGTTTTGCATTTCTCTGTGGTTATGTGAATTTTATCAGACTCAGTCCCTAAAATATTTCTCAAAAAGTTTGTCTGGTAGTCCCCCTCTATCAGACTAACCCATGTTCTTACATATTTTGGGATTCCTTTTAACTCATCTGAAGTAGAATTTTTGGATGTGCGACTCAGTAAGTCTGCATTTTAAACAAATAACACAGGTTATTTTGAAATACAAAAAAGTGTGACAATCATATTATTTCATATTTTTCTGAATTTGTTATATTGGCAACACTAATATAAGGAGTAAAAACAATTAGAAATCCTACTCTGTTAATACTTCAGTATTACTGGAATGTAATTAGGTCTTATTTCTTATTTTCCTAATTATAAAATTGACCATAAGATTAACATGCAGTCTAACAGTAAGGTAATCAATTTTTTTTCCCTTTTAGGCTTCATCTCAAGATGATTCTAAACCATCCCAGAGGCAGTTTACCATTCTTACTTATAATGACTTAATATCATCTGCTGTTCCTATGACCCCTGAAGATCCTTCATTTTGGGACTGTTTTTGCTTCACAGAAGAAATTCTGATACGAAATGGTACAAAGTCATGATAGGATAAGTAACAAAGGGAAATGAAAACTTTACAATATTCTGTATTTGCTAAAAAATAAATGCCTGATAACTATCAAATTTTATTTCATGAAACACTTTGAAAAAAAAACTTTTCCTATTAAAAAAGAATACTCCCAGTTCAAATACACGCAGTTAAACGGTGTAGCTTAGTAGAATATAATTACCATTTCTTTCTCCCCAGAATCGCATTGAATTGACAGAAGATATAGAAAAGGGTGGCAGACTCTTAAGTGATACAGGCACACCTTATTTTATTGCATTTTGCTGTATCGTGCTTCACTTTATTGTGCTTCACAGGCGTTAACGTTTTTTACAAATGGAAGGCAAGACCCTCCACCAGCAAAAAGGTTATGACTCACTTTATTATGGTAGTGTGGAAGTGAACCCACAGTATCTCTGAGGCATGCAAATATGTAATAAGGAAACATTTAATTCCTGTCCTTCAGACAACTATATCAGAGATAACTATTTCTAAAGCCTTTTTCTTGGCAGATGAATCCATATTAATATACTTGTTTTTAATAAAAAATGGGAACATACTATTTTGTCATTTTTTTCATCTTAACTGCACATCTACTGTTCATAAATAATTCTGTGGCAAGCCTGTTACTGACTCCAAGGTATTCTCTTATATGGCTAACATCAGTTAAGATGCTTTTTACCAGAGGTAACAGTGTCCAAGTATAACTCACTTAAGTAACCAAGAACATTTATTATCTCATACAACACGCAGTTAAACGGTGTCATTAAGGACACTTGTTTTGCCTCAGCCTCAGTTTGTTTTGCCTTAGGCTTGTTTCATGGTCATGAGAGCTGCTGCTATAACTTCCAGCTTCAAATCTTCATACAGTTGCATCTAAAAGTCAGGAAGGGCTTTTTTCTCCCTTCACATCTGTTTTGTCAGTGAGGAATACATTTCCCTCAAGTCCCCAGATTTCCCTTCAGTTTCCCTTGACTCACATCGGATCACCAAGAAAACGGATCCTTAGACCCTGTGGGCAATAGACTCTGTAAGGTAGAAGCTAAGGCAAAGTGGGGAGAATGGCATCGAGAGGAGGCCCACTGCCTGCCGTAAGGGAGGTATGCCTCAGTTTGTCCATTTTTCCTCTTTGTTAGGCATTTTGATTGTCGGCAGACTTTACTGTAAGCAGTGGTGCAGTGGCTATCCTTGTAACCGCATTTGAGGTATATGTCTAATTATTTCTTGAGAAAGTTTCTGTAAGTGGAATGGTTGGTTCAAAAGGATTAAACTTTTTTGGAGCTTTGATAAGTGTTGCCAAATTGCTCTCCAAAATGCCTGTTAGTTTTATATGGGTAACCACCTTTTCACCCCCCCCCAACCTGTCTCTGACATGCTGTAGATACTTTTTTTTTAATTTAACCTTTGCCAATATAAGTGAAAAATGGTACCTTATTTTTTTAAATTTCTATTTCTCTCATTATAAATGGGTTGGTATATCAGTGTTGTTATTGGCTATTTGTATTCCTTTTTTAATGAACTTCCTGTTCATTGCATTTGCCTGTTTTTATTGAGTAAATAGGACTTAATTTAAAGTGGGAACATAATATATAAAATGCCAAGACCATCATATTGATGACAGAATCTGTTGGGTTGGCCACAAAGTTCATTTAGTTTTTTCTGCACGATGGCTCTAGAAGTGCTTTGTTGTCTTTAACTTCATTTGAAACTATTTTGTTAGGTTGTATTGTGACAGCTCTCATATCAGCGTGCATTTAAAAAAAAATCAGAACTGGTAAATTTGTATAGCCATTTTAATATTGAAGAAAATAGGCAACATTTTCAGCATATTATGTTTTATTATTTCAAGAAAGGTGAAAACACAACTATCTGAGCCCTGGCTAATGTGGCTCAGTAGATGAGCACCAGCCTGCTAACGAAAGGATTGCAGGTTCGATTCCCAGTCAGGGCACATGCCTAGGTTATGGGCCAGGTCCCCAGTCGGGGGCATGTGATAGGAAACCACACATTGATGTTTTCTCTTTCTCCCTCCCTTCCCCTCTCTCTAAAAATAATAAATAAAATCTTTAAAGAAATGAAACACAAAAAGATTCATGCAGTATATGGAGAAGGTACTGAGACTGATTAAATGTGTTAAACATGGTTTATGAAGTTTCTGGGCACTATTGATATTTTGGCCAAATAGCTCTTTGCTGTCGGGCTGTCTTATGCATTGGAAGATGTTTAGCAGCACCCCAGGCCTCTACCCACTGGAAGCCAATAGCAAGACATGGCCAACATATTCAAAATATCCAAATCAATAAAACTGTTAGTGAAAATGAAAAATGTGTCTTTTTATTTTACAGAAAAGACTAAACGGACTTTTTGACCAACCCAATATTATATGGTTGTAATGCATGTCTTGGGGAGTTTGTCTTGTTATTGTTTAATATCAAGAAGTGAAATAATTTTATTGTTTCCATTACTGAAATTGAAAGTTGTGTGTAAATTGTATACAATTAGATACCTTGCTTAGTTAAAAAAAAAATTGAATGTTTTATAATTTTTTACTTTATTAAGCATGCCCAAATATTCCAAGCATAGTAAATAACGTGTTTAAAACAGATCAAGTAGCATTTATAATATAGGAAGCATTATCCCTCGCATGAATGTAATGGTGATAGGGAAAACTGTCATCTGTCTTGTCATTATAATAAAATGATTAACATTGAATTTTTATGAGCCAAACATTGTGATAGGTTTTGTGTTTTTGTTTTTCTGTTCTTTCTTAAAGTTACATGTACACATAGTTTAAACAGTTAAATAGACTTACAAGTTTTTTTTCCTAAATGAAAAACACCACTACCTTCATCGCTTCCCATTTCCTTCCTCCAGAGCAAGCTCTTACAACTCTTTTTTTGTTGTTCTTTATAATAATATCTCCAAATACCATTCATATATTGCTTTTTCACTTTAAGTCAACACTGTGGTGCTTTTGAGGGGGAGGTGGGTATAAATGGTAATGGAAAAAAATACAATAGAAATAAATTTAAAAAGTAAGGCAATTTAATTCTGAATATAAAGCTTTCCTATTCTGCTTCCCAACCATTACATATTTCCTTCCTTGCTCCTTCTTTCTCAACATAATTATAATTCAGTGTTTACATTATTGACTGTGATTAAGAATGTTTACATTATTAAGATTATGTAATGCTCTGCACAGCTGAATGAGTTCTTACCCTATACTGCATTTTTTAATTTAAATTTTTCCTCTGTCCTTTGAAATGTATGGAAATCTTTTTATTTTTAAATTTCTATTGAATTTCAGTGACATTGGTTAATAAAATTATATAGGTCGCAGGTATATAATTCTATAACACATCATTTTCATATTGTGTGTTTGCTACCCAAATATAAGTCTCCTTTTATCATTTATCCCCCCAACTTTACTCTCAACCCCCTCAATTCTCTTTCCCTCTGATAATAATCATACTGTTGTTGTCTGTGTCTATGAGGTTTTGTTTGTTCTTGCTTAATCCTTTCACCTTTTCCACCCAGCCCCCTTATACTACTTTTTTTTTTTTTGAGTTAATAACTAACATTGTTTGCATAGGTTTCCATGTACTTATTGTTAATTCCATGTAAAACTATTAGAAGTATGAATATGTTCTTATGTTCAGGCACAGCAGTTGTTCATCATATTTATCCATCTTCTTGAAGAAATGCTTCTGTTTTGTCCAGTCTGGACTTCTTGCTTTTGTGGCTGGTACACAGCTGTCCTAGAATTCCCTTTCACCTTCATCCTGGGATTGCTTGCCTCATCCCTGTGTTGGATTCCCTGATTTCCCACTCCCTGTATCATGTCTTTCTTAGATTTACTTCATTTGTATGGATCATATCCTTGAAGAGCTTCCTGAGAACAAAGACATGGAGATAAATTTTAGTACTATATGAGGGAGGAGCGGTGCCCTTATGCAGAGTGGCATAGGAGATCTGGCTTCTTACACATTACTCTGTTCACCTCCACCTCCAAAGCCCAGTATTGGTGCTGCCAATTGTTGAGTCCTGTACTGAGCTGGACTGTGTGTAGTACAGCTTCACATCCATGTTTTGCTGAGTCCAAAACCACTGCTTGTATTGGTCAGTGTACCACAATGTATAACTTTATTGGTGTCTGTTATACTTTTCTGCATAGGAGCTCTGATGAATTGATTTTAAAAATGGGTCTGTGTATACATGTGTGCGCGCGTGCAAATATTCACATACTCCTTGCTGTTGAAACTCAGGAGTCAAACAGATTTGGATAAACTTTCACTTACCTTTTTCACTATTACTGGGCCTCTGAAACTCAGAAACTAATTAGATTTGGGTAACTCAGTAGCCCCTCACTGGTTGAAATGTTACCATATAAATTTAAAAACTAAGATTAATAAATTCATGCTAATACATACATCTTTGATCAAAAATATACCTGAAAACAATTCCAATTACTGAAAACAATTGCTAGTACTCAAAAGGAAGGTGAAGAGAGTGAGTTCATTTCAGGGGGAAAATAAATGTTAGTCACAGTGTGTGTGTGAATTTTGGATTGGCAAAGCCTTTCGACATACCTCCAGTTAATAAAAGTTTTGTCTTAGGACTTTTTTTCTTTGTTGTTGACACTATTACAGATGTACCCGTCCCCACCACTTTTGCCCACCTCCACCCAGCCCTGGCCCCTCTTCTGTTGTCTGTGGGTCACGCACGTGTGTTCTACGGCTAATCCCTTCACCTTCTTTCATCCAGTCCCCACTCTCTTCTGACAGCCATCAGTCTGTTCCATCTATCCATACCTCTGTTTCTCTTTTTTTCCTCCGTTTTAGAGTAGCCATCTTCCCTTATAAGTGCTTCACATTTATCAAGCCTCTCTCTACTCAAAGCTTAGATGGTAGGTCCTATCATCATCCTCATCTTCCTCATGGGAAAATAAAGTCCTGAGATATTAAGCAACTTGCTCTATGAGGTCTGTCTGGAAGGTATCCAGCCATGGAATATGAAAAATAGACTTTTTTGAAGAAAATACAAGAAATTTTTTTTAATTATTTAAGACCTTTATTAACAGGTGCTTGCAGTTTGTTGACTTTTTTGAAAAAATCAAGTTGTAAACTTCTATTACAAATTAAAAATGAGGTTCTTAAAAATCTCAACTTGACCAGATATGAAACAATTTAAAAACCTTTAAAGGTGTATTGAAAAAAAACCAGGCTTATTTAAAAAAAAAAACAACACATTTGTCATTACCAAAAAAAGACGTCTTTAGATAAAAATAATAACCCCATGCTGCATAGGTAATGCAGATAGTTCTAGTCATCTGGTCAACGGGCAAAAAGCAAGCATTTAAGTCTTCAGCTCTAATCTTTTGTTCATTTCTTATTGCTGGAATTTCATACTCATTTCTTCTTGTTGGATAACTAAACCGGGTGATGGTAGAGCTGGTAAGCCGGCATTTACTCAGCCTCGCCCTGCTCAGCCTCGGGAGCGGACGAATTCGCAGCTGGTGGATCGGCTGCTTTTGTCTCTCTGCCATCCTGTGGTTTAGGGTTTTCTGGGCGTCTGCGTCGGTAACTGAAGTTGCGGCGGTACCGACGTTGAGGTGGCTGCTGACCTTGGGTCTCATCTTGATTTTCCTTATCTTCTTCATTGCCGTCCTCTCTAGGCTGTCTTGGGCGAGGAGGGCTCATGCGAAATCGTGGTCTGTAGCCCCGATACATACTCTGTCTCACTGGTCTACCTTGTTCTCCCGCACCCTGGTTGCCAGCACCCTCCGTCACTTCTCACCTCCTGCTTCCTCCCCTACCGAAATAAGAAATATTGTACGTAGGACAATGATGCCTCAGTCCCCTTCAAAGTAGAGACCTTGAGACCTCAAAACAGTTCTCCCAGCACAGGAGGGTTGGAATATTGTGGTCGAGGCCCATAGGGTCTCCGCAGGTAGTAAGGTGGGAACCGTCGCCTGCGGTAGGGCCGGCGCTCTTGGGCCTGGCCTTCAGGAGCCTCTGCCATTTCTCATTCTTTTCCCCACTCTCACTTTTCTGGTGATTCTGCTGGTAAGTGCGTGGAGGACCCCTGCGACGTGGATAGCGTCTGTAATGGTGACGGTCTGCTGCATATTTACTGCCTTGCACTGGAACTCCACCAGGGCCTGTAGCATTTGCTGCCTCCGCACCCTTTTCTCCTTCAACAACATCAAACTCCACAGCCTCTCCATCTCCTACACTGCGAAGGTACTTCCTGGGATTATTCTTCTTTATGGCAGTCTGGTGTACAAATACATCTTCCTTGGTGTCATTCCTGTTGATGAAACCATATCCGTTTCTTACACTGAACCATTTTACTGTTCCCAAAACCTTCATTGCGATGACCTTGTCCCCGCCTGCAGGCGTAGCCGCTCCTGCGCCGCTGCCGGTGGTGCCGGGCTTTGGTGTCTTGGTGTCGCAGCGCTGAGGGCGGGGCGGCAGGCAGCTGCTGGGTCTCGGCCTCGCTGCTTATGGTTGCGGTGATGGTGACTGGGGCCTGCTGCGGCAGCTGCGGCTCCTCTCGGGGTGTGATGGTAACTAGGTCGGCGGCGGCGGTGAGGCTGCTCAGGACTCTCTGGGGTCCGCTCTCCGCTCCTGCTACCGATCGAACTCGAAAATACAAGAAATATTGTACGTAGGACAATGATGCCTCAGTCCCCTTCAAAGTAGAGACCTTGAGACCTCAAAACAGTTCTCCCAGTCGCCATCAGCTGCCCTGTTGTATTTTCTGAATCTTTTCCGCAGTCTGCAATCTCCCTTTCATAGGTGATTTAAGTTTTGGGAACAGCCAGAAGTCACAGGGCACCAAATATGGGCTGTAGGGGGGCTGAGTCACCTGGGTAATTTGATGTCTTGCAAAAAGTTTCTTCATGAGACATGATGCATGAAGGGGCTACACTGTTGCAATGAAGCTGCCAATCATTTGCCCGTAGCTGCAGCCTTCTGAATTATCCGAATGCTTTCAGCGAAGGACTGTTGATGCTTAATGTAAAATCTGATGCAGATTTGTTGCGTGCTCAGTCATTTTGAATGTGACAGCCACACAGTATAGATGCTCACTCAATGGCGTTGACCACCCCCACTGATCAGTACAGTGAAAATGACATTGTTTACCATGCACACTCCAGCCCACTCTCCTTGGCTGCCACGTTACATCGATGTTGCACAAACCATTCTTATATTAACAGTGGTTGGACTTTTTCCAGACAGACCTCATATATCATACTTCACTGAGTAGTGGATTCGGTTCTGGTACCACACAGTCCCATTGAGTAGTGGATTCGGTTCTGGAACCACAAAGCCGCAATCCAAAGCCTTAACTCCACTGTACTAAATTAAATGGTATGCTGGCCAATTTTTAACCATGAGCAATCCTGGGACAGGGATGATGGTATCAAGGAGCCTTTATTTGTGGCTTTTGCTAACCAGCGACTTGTAACCAGCGACTTGTAACCAACACCTCAAACATAAACACTATTTCACTACATTAGTTTCAAATTTTTATTTTTCCCTGCAGATGCATAAAATCTCCTACCCCCTAGTTACCTCTTCTCTCTCCAGGAATAACCTATCACTTGCAGTTTTATGTGTATAGCTTCTTGGGTATGCGTCCATAGTCAGTGGAGAGTATCACATCCTATATTTTCCTAGTAGGATTGAAACATAATGGGATCTCTTTGTCGCT